CTCAGTACTGGGGCAATATGCAAAACAAAATCAAAGGTCATGTATCATTGAATAAAAGCAACAAAGCAACAACAGTGACTATGAGAACATTTTTATACATGGACAAAGCTGATCCACAAGGAGTGCCAAGGCTACCTCTTAAAATGGAAGTGTTTCATGCAGATAATTATTTTATTTTTATTTTTACATTTTAAAGTCATACAATAGTTGTCTATAATGAGAACATCCTGAAATATACAATTTAATAAACAATAAAGTCACAATGAAAAATTTGCCAGCAGGAACATCATCACCTAAAATGCAACAAAAATGGTTCAGCCAAACAGCTGCATCAGAACCAATGCAAAATCTCCCTCAATAGCAAAGCTGTATTCAGTCTGCAGATCTATATAGCACATTTACCGTATGTGTTTGAACATTACATTATTACAATTATTCTGCTTCTTTTAGCAAAGATTCCTTGGCTTCAGATATACTTACAGTGCAATTCTATACATATCAGCTGAAAAGTAAATCTCATTAAGTTCAATGGGGCTTAGATCCAATGAGGTTTATTCCCAGCAGATATAGGATTGTTGCCTCCCAATTGCAATCTTAAGCATATTTGTTCTAAACTGTTCCATTAAATGGAATGTGGCCCTCAATAGTGCTACTCTTGAGAAAGGAAAAATATTCAGGCAGATAGAACTAAAAAGGCATTGAGCTGCAGCATTTTTATTTTGCCTTCATACAATAAATGGCAATGAGATAGTAAATAATAGCATTACATGTATTCTGTCCATCAATAAAGCACTGCTTTTGCTTTTCATTATAATTCCTTATTAAGGAATTCCTTCTAATTCCACCACCACCACTACTGTCATTCTTAGTTTATCACACTGGTTTATTTAGACTGGGGAATAGTCCTTGATGAGCATATTTCTTGGTTGCTCTTGATGCAAACAAAGGATGTTTTATTCTGTTCACTTATTGTGTTGTTCTTTGAGTTGGGGGAATTTTATGAAGTTATTTGTCAGTATTTTAATCACACAATTGATGTTTTATTTTTTGTTATATTACCTACAATGAAGAGCTCAGTGATGAGAAATAGTAAGCCCAACCTTAATCCTATTTTTAACTTCCCACATCAAAATCCCTTTATCAGTGTTCTCTATGTCAAGAAACATTTTCCTTTGGCATACTACTCCTGATCATGTAGTATCTCCCATAAACTAATAATAAAGCTGTTCCATTATAAAGCAACTTATAATATCTCATCTGGGCCATCTAGAAAACTGGCCAGAAGAATCAACAATCATTCTAACTCATTTTCAAACTTTTTTATCAATTTATTATTTTTCATAAATGCTATTTTTATAAATTTATAAATATTATTTTTATAAATAATTCAAGGACGCAATCATACGTAATACTCCTTTCTCCTTATAATTTCTCATAGCAAAACCTGAGAGGTGGGCTCGGCTGAGAGAGCAACTGACTCAAAGTCACCCAGCTGACTTTCATAGCTAAGGCATAACTAGAACTCCCAGTCTCCCAATTTTAAGCTTGGTGCCTTAACCACTAGATCTAACTGTCTCTCCTAATGTAATCAAATATTGTAATCCACCAAGAATAGCTGTACTATGAGATGGGGAGCTATGTAATTGTGATTAATAAATAAATAAAATAAGTGGCACATTACAACTACTTCATATTCTTGGATCTAAGAATTCTTAGTTGCTCATATGTTTTAGACTGATTCACTGATCAATAATATTTGCATATATAAATGCAGCTGAGATTTTGGGGATGTTGAGGCAACTTCTGATTTAATTTAATGGACAAATGTTACCATTTCATTCAAGGAAAGGCTAGCTTTCTTATTTTCTATTTCATTTCTTATTAAATGCAGACTACCACTGCCAAAGAACCTGCCAAATAAACAAATGGATCTTTAAATCATAGTCCTGCTGATTAAATTTGCCCTCAGCAATTAAAACTGTCCCTTACCAGTTAATTTGCTATAGTATTAACTGATTAATTTCCTAATTAAACCTTGCACGTATATTTCTGCAATTGTACATCATTTTAACTTAGTGTCTTATAAGCAGAACACTCACTGGATAAAGAGAAAACTTGGGAGAACTAAACTGTACAATACAACAGTTTTAACTTTTGTTGTAAAGCAAGCCTTGATTTAATAAAAATAATGAGCAAAACGTATAAAACATCTTTGTACTATATATCATTTGATAACCAGCTGCCCTGATTGTTAGTCTACTTCCAGCTGCAATTCAAGGTGTCATCACCTTTAAAGGCCTGCGGGGCATGGGTCCAGTCTACCTGAGGAATTGTCTCACCCCGATGGGATTGGCCCACTCCACCTGCACTGGCAGAGGGGACATACTGCATATCCTATCACTCAAGAAATTTCAGCTGGTGGGATCCAGGAGAAAAGCCTTCTCTGCTGTGGCCCCTGCCCTCTGGAACATCTTAGCTCTGGAAGAGAAATTAGCTCTATTTTGTAAGAATTTATGACTTGGCTCGCCAGATAGCTTGGGTACCCAATGGAAGAGCTTCTGATAGGAAGTGGTTGAGTAATTAAAATTCAACCCTATCTCCCCCTGTGTGTCCGGAAACCCTCCTTTACCATCTTGTGTCCATGATTTTATCTGTTAATGTTTTTTGTCTGCTGTGTTTTTTACATGGACATTTTAATGTTTTTTGCTATTTTTATCTTGTAAGCTCTCCAGAGTCATTGGATATGAGATGGGTGGCAAATAAATTTCATAAATAAGTAAATCACATGACACAATTTTAAAGGATTATGGAAGAAGTCTACCTGGGTTAGAACAGAGGTAGATTGTCATGCTTTGTTTTTGATCATGGGACACAGAAAGACTTTAGAAAGTTTAGAAGCAGAGTATGAAGGGAAAATTGGAAGTCTAAAGAAATCTTCAATCTGTCTAGAGACATCTCCTAATAACTCATAGAACTCAGGACACCTAATCGATGTTGTACAGAACTTCAGGGATGCAGTTCTCATATTAATGCTAGTTCTTTATTGCTTTTCTGAGGTGAGGCACAGTTGTTTCTCATCTTTCAAGTTTTTTTAAGGTTAACAATTTATTTATACCACAATAGAGCTTTTAATTAATCTTACTTTTGCAGTCGACTGGCTGTTTAAATTACTTGCTTAGGTGATTGTTTAATCACATGTGCTAAGATTTCTGCTTTTTTCCTCTAAATCTTTTTGATATTAAGCTTTACGTGAAGAAAGGGATTTATGCTCAGAGTTCCCATTGTCCAAGCACCCCACATTTCCCTCAAAAGTATTTCCTTCTACATCTCATTTGGAGAGTTTTTCAAATACTATGAGTAATATTTTGGAGTAAGGGGATGTTCAATTGTATAAACACAATTTTGTGCATTGTCATCTAACCCATAATATAATAATAGAAAGTAGACACAAATTCATTATAATTTCATAATTATCAGTCACAAGGAAGGAAAACAGTCCTCTGGGATCTTTTGTGGTAACATTTTTTTTCTGCTGGACCCTGTTGAAAATACAATATTTAGGAAAGAAATATCATCTTTATAATGGTTGTCTGCCAAATATGAACTTTGTCCTTTATTTTGTTTTCCCAAGAAGAAGTACAAAGCTTATTTATTGTAGAAAGCAAGAAGATGTTTATAAATCGAAGTATCTACCTGACTCCACTATCCTGTTTTTATTATAGCCAGTCAAATATCTCTTGGAAAGCCCAAAGTTAGAACTGGAGAAGCTTTTGAATGAGAAGCAAAATGTTTTCAGAGAAAAAAACAACACAAGAAAGTCTTTTGGAAAAAGCAACTTTAGGACAACCATGACCGGATAATTGAAAATCTCCATATACCTCTCTTTGAAAATTCATGAGGAGATCATGAGTTTCCAGTTTTCATAAGTTACATTTCCTACAATTGCTATTAAGAGCATCTTGCTTTTGAGACTGCTCTATAAAATGAATGTTTCTAGCATTTGTATGTTTTAGATGTTATAAGTAGGACTACAGGTTTAATTAATGTATGTGTTGGATTAGTTAAGTCAAAATATTACAATACTGTACTATTAGCCTGGGGGAAAGCCTACCAAATCATTGGTTCTATAACTTTTAGGTGCATATTGCAATATTAATCAACGAGTACTGTAGGCATTTCCAATTATTCTGAAACTGATTATTTAAAAAAAATAATTTTAAATTACAAGCATTTAAAATCTTAACAAAAGCAAGTATATTCTATCCTTTTTAAAATTAATCCAGGAGAAAATAGCTTTCTTAACAGGTAAGCATTGGGCATTGATGAAAGAAGAATGTAGCTTCAAAAATATTTTAAAAGGAATAAATTTGATACTTTGCTCTGCCAAAACTAATTATGGTTTAATGAATTCAAATTGCTTTAATTGGGTTGAAGACCTGTTGATTACATTACCATTTGTTTACAGATGCATAACATACTTCGAGAGAGTGCTTGTTAAAAATTAAAAAAATAATCTCAACATGGGAAATAATCAGTTCTGAGTTCTGTATGTGTGTGTGTGTGTGTGTGTGTGTGTGTGTGTGTGTGTGTATGTATGTATGTATGTATGTATGTATGTATGTATATATTCTAAAAAAAATTGCATCGCTCCTAAAAGAGAAATGCATTTTATGTAACTGTTTCCTTTATCTTTAAACAAGTTAGTAATCTTGATATTGCTGATTAACATGAAATAAAACATATAGGAGATTAACCTTAAAGTGTTTCTTTTTGCATTTTTATAAAATATTTCATTACCGCAGGCATTTTAATCTGTCAGATTTACTAGAATATAGGACAATTTTGCATTAATTGGGAGGGGATTGGTATAAAACATTCCATGTTTAGAACTATAGACAATACAAATTGCAGTTATGTATTCCGGTCACCAAATTGTTTTCTAACTTCAAAAATAGCTTCAAAACTCACACATATTTTTTTCTCCTGGTTTCATTATATAGTGTAGAATATGACTTCAGACAACAAGAAGATAGATTTCACCAAGTTTTGAAAGCATTGGATCAAGTGGAAGAGAGTCCTGTTTTGGTGACACTACAAAGACAGCCATCTGATCATCCAGTCCCTGAGAAACAGGAAATAAGAAGAAAGGCGAAGAAAAAGAAATGCTTCTGGTGGATTTGAAAACTTTAAAAGATGGTATCAAACTTAAGATTTAGTCTATATCACTCTTGGCCCATCGTGCATAGACTTTACATGTATGATCCTCATCTTCTCACATGCTCTGATTTTCTTCATTTATTGATTTGCGGTAATTCTGCTTTGCCATGATTCCAATTTTGGGATACAAAAATAATGTCAGCTAGGAAGTAAGGGAAATATCAGAGCATGCGGTCCATTCAGGAAAATAAAGATTTATTTAAATGCAGTGTGAGCCAAGCATTATTGCGTGGTTGTGGCAGCGGTGGTAATAGTGGTGGTAGATATATTGGTCAGAAATATGCCTTTTCTAAATCCATATTGAGCTTAATCTAAAAAAGTTAAAACTCATACAATGTAATGAGAAAACCACTCACTTGGTATTCAGATCTGTTCTGTTCTGAAACAGGACAAGCAGGCCAGTAAAATGAAGCCTTACCTGTCCTTCTTTCCATAACTTCCTTACCAAGCAATTCTGTCATCTGAACATAACACGAGTATGATAGAAATAGGAACTTGTTTAGCCAACTTGATTCAGGATTTTCTGGAGCTGACAGGTTTCTCTTTATAGTTATTTTTTAATAGCTTTGTTCCCTGACAAATTGCTTTATAGCAATTCTGTATCGATTGTACCAAAGTGCACCTAACATATTTTTCATAATGTATTTGTTTTAAATAATCAAAGCTAGCAGTCAGCAAAAATGTTGAGACAGCAAATATGTTAAAATGTTAAGAAATAACTTTTTTTTTATTCCAGCTTAAATACCGAATTTTATTAGAGAAAACGTAGCTTTGGGGTGAAAGCCCTATATAACTGTAGAAATCCATCAAAGTCATAGCACTCCTCTTAAAACAAAAAGCATTGAACTATTAATACTTAAACATTTTGTTTAAAAAAAAAACGTACTCTAAAATTAGTATACAGGTAGTCCTCAACTTATGACAACAATTGTGCCCAAAATTTAAGTTGTTCAGTGAGAAATTAGTTTGGTGAGTTTTGCTCCATTTTACAACTTTTCTTGCCACATTGGTTAAGTGAATCACTGCAATTGTAAAATTAATAACACCATGGTTAAGTGAATCTGGTTTCCCCATTGACTTTGCTTGTCAGAAGGTCGCACAAGGGCATCATTGGACAGTGCAACTGTGATAATTGTTAGTCAGTTGTCAAGCATCTAAATGAAATCACATGACCATGGGGATGCTACAATGGTCATAAGTGTGAAAAATGGTCATGTCACTTTTTGCAGTGCCGTTGCAACTTTGAATGGTCACTAAACACACCTTTGTAAATCAAGGACTACCTGTACTATATTTTACTAGGAGAAACAAAAAAAATGTTTGGATTATAAAATAAAGTGTATTATTAAGAGAGTCATGCCAGACTAAAAGAAACTTTCAGGGAGATTCTTGACAAAAGCATTTACTCAAGGGACAGTCTCTTTGATTTAGGGTAATTTTCTTTACAACAAAGTTCAGTCACTGTAGAAGAAAAGGTAATATGAGAGGCAATTTATCTCCTATTTAGAGGAAGTCTTACGTTCTAAAGAGAAAAAAAGATCTAACTCATGAATTAGAGTCACATGAAAGTGAACAGAAATCAAAAATTGAAATCAACCAACACAGAATAATATAGTATTGATTTATTTTATTTGTTCATTAAATACACAGCAAAGTTCTTCATTCCTCTGGGACAGATTTCTTCAGAAATGATAATCTGGAAGGAGGACAGAACTGGCAAACATGAATCCTTGTCTTTTCATTCATTTGAAAAAGAATCTGTGAGATAAAAACCTCTAGTTCATAGAAAAGGGGTTCTTTCTACAATATATATGTTTTCTTGATCTAATTAAATAAATGGAAAAATGGAAGCAGTTTTTTTTTTTAAACTTCATGAAGAGGAAAAGGATTTGTATATTGGGGGGATCAAACTCACAGCCCACAGGCCAGATGCATCACACAGTGGCCACAGTCACCCTGGTTTAGCGAAGTCACTATAAATCATGTGACGACAACATTTCACTGCAAGTGTGACACCTTTGTTCTATATAAATTGAAAAATAGCTTTATTTTATTATTATAACTAACTAGGCACAGTATAGTGTATATATGACCACCTGAAAGCCAAAAAGGGGTAAATTCAAATTCTGAATATTTATAATATAGCAGATTATCAACAATACTAACAATTTTAAATCAGACAAAGAAAAAGAGAAAAGCACCCAAGGTTTTTATGAAAGATATTTCTTAGCTTACACCAAGAGTTTAAATCAAAATCTTGTTTCCAAATAGTTGGGCTAAGTAATTTAAAATTTTAATCTATTTTATAACTGCTGATCATGAAAATACTATGTGTACTTCTGTGAAATTAAATATTTTTAAAGGACTAGACAATTTCATTAAATGCAAGCTCCAAAATACTGAAATTACTGGCAGCCATAGACTCAAGTTATTGATGTGCCTCTAGTAAAAGTAAAGGCGTTTCAACAGCTGTACTTATTGAAATAGTGGACTATTTTCACAGCTCCAAATCCCAATAACCGAGGAATCACATGAAAGAAGCCCCATAATGTTCAGCAGTCTATGTTATCATGACTGGCATTCAGCTTCAAATTGCAATCCATGAATGATCAGTTCCTATTGTCTGTCCTTCAATCCATAATGGTGAATACTGGCATCCTAACCAAGATGAGTTAGCCATATAATCCAAATTTGAATTTCTTTGCTGGATCTAGTCTTATCCTATAGGCCAAGCAGTATGTAGAGCAAAAAAGAAAGGAAAATGTGGCTTGTTGGATTTGTAACAGCAATCTCTTTTAACAGTGGAAGAGAATCGTCTACCTCTTTCGTTCCTTTGATCAGCATTGAGAAAGATGGACAAGAAAGCCACCTATTAATGAGACAGATCCAACACTTCACACCTTGCTTAGCCTTGCTGTTAAAATTTAAGGGGGGAGAAACCTGATCTAGTTTAATCTAGCGGAGCAACTACATTGGTAGGCGCAAGTTTTAAGAAGAAATTTTAGGAAGGGGAAAGATGAGGCTCTCTAGATCTTTAATAAATTTAAGAACTATTGACATCAGGTTTATTGCTCAATATTGAAAAGTAGTCATTTTTCCTCTTTTTAAAAAGTGCTGATAGCTAATATCAGTCCATATTCAGAAGAGCTTAATAGTAGGACTGCATAAACCTACTACCCAGGTATAGGTTTCAATAACACGAGTTGTATTCAACTTATGGTATGCTATGAAAACATGGGGGGAAAGTAAGGAGGAGAAACATTTGTAAAATATTGTATAGCACATATTGCATATTCTGAATTTATTGTACTTGAAATTACTTTGCTCAGCAGAGAAAATTATTTTCTAGGAATAAAACTGGAAGAATAAAACAGTCTTCTTTGAAACACATCTTCAATAAAATGATTATTCCCACAGTACGATAAATACCTTCTCCTTTTACTCACAGCCACAACTCTTGATAAATAGGCAGCAAACTCTAATATAAATTACTTTCCTGATGAACTGTACTAATCAAATATAATGTTTTGTATATTTCTAGATTCTTTTACTGGCATAATCTCTTTTGCAATAAATTGACATATTTTCTTCTGTCTCAGGACTCAATAATTTCTTCTGTCTCAGGACTCAATAATTTAAGAGCTATGTTTATGATGATTGAAGTTAATGCAATTATTCCAACTAGAGTGAATGATTCAACAGCTGTTTTCCTAACAAGTCTTTCTCCTTACCATTTTTACAGGACATGATGAAAATTCAGTTTCAGAATGGTATTCTTTGGGTGCAAGGGAGCTAAGGTTTTCAGAAATTCTCCTTTTATTCCATAATGTTGAAAACCATGCAGGGAACAGAATGACCTGAACACCTGCTTACAGATCTGCATCAAGAGTCAGTCCTCCTGCCTTTCACGGCCTGTTCAGTGGCCATCTGGACCAAGTAGCTGTGATGAGAGTTTCTTTTTAATCCTAGCTCTTTCTCTTTGTTTTTTCTTCTTGAAGGAGCAACAGTTAATTAATTGGCCCAAATAGCTTTTTGTAAGGAAAAGGCAACTTAGATGAGAAAACAGAATATGATCAGCAGCACCGTAGAACCTCGGACAAGTATATTCCCCTATCTGAACATTTATCTGAGATTAAATACAATTGAATTCAGTTGGCTTTCATTTAAGACAGCATTTTTAGGATTGTCTTGTCTTCTGCAGCATGGCTATACATCTTATCAACACAAGTAGATTTTTAAAAATCCTTTAAAGTTAACATACAATATGATTTGTCAAATTTACAGTTTCATGGAAATGCTCTCTCAGTTTCACAGTGTTTAAAAATTGCAAAGTGTACTAAAATAGCAATTCTTGTAAGACAGGTTCCAAAACTTTGCTGCCTACATAGGAGCATCTAACGAAACCATTCAAATATCATTTACTATACACATTCACCTCTCTACCTAAGCAGTTATCACTTATCTTCAAGTATGTTAAGTGATACCTTAAAAAGTATGAAGAGTATGAATACTCTTTGGAAGAAATAAAATGCAAAGGGCAAGTGAACAGCCTTATACCAAAGAAAGGAACTATAATTCTGTTCTTATCCAACCAGCTTCACATGTCAGAAAAAGTATAGCCACAAATGTTTTACTTTCATTATTTTACTCAAACTGATAAGCAAGTGGAATATATTTATTTTCCTTAGATAATTTGCACATTGTTGGCTAACCCATGACATTTCAGAGCATAAAACAAAAGGAAGCCCATTACTCAGCAGAATTTATCTGTCAGAATCTAAAGCATAATTAAGATTGGCATAAGGCAACAAAGTAATCCAACAAGATTTTCAATGTCCTTACTTAGCAAATTCTGTGAATTCCATTAGCCACTGGCTTCATATCAAAACAACTTATTGCAGAGTCATACAACTGGAAGATTGTCATCCCTGAATTTTGCTTTTCCCAATCATTCCAAATATGTCTAGGCATGGTCAACTTTAGGGGTAGTCCAATTATCTGACCAATCATGGCAATGTATTCAGAGTAAGCATTGCAAGCTCTTGACCCAGCCATTCTGGCTCAACAGCAGATGATCCCAACTGGACAACAAAATTATCTTCATTGGTTAAGCTGCTAACAGTGGCTGCCCCAATTCTACATTTGCACCTTTTACAATTACTAATATTGCTAATATTATTATTACTCAAACAGCAATACTATATTGTTTACATGAATAATAAATTAATATATAAATAATTCTTATGTGATCAAAAACATATTAATTAAGATACATCCTTGCGCCATATATATTATCCTCTAATTGTACTTCATGCTGAATGTCATAGGATTTTTCCCATGGGCAGCGTTTATTAGGAGGCAATGAAACACATGTGTACTAACACTGGATGGCAAAAGTTTTGTCTAGTCTGCAAAGGGCTAGACTGCAGAATATCTTTAGTCAGCATTTGCATTTCTCTGAAACACAGGTTAGTTATTGTGTTTTGATATATACAACCCAATGCATCATTCTAAAAGGCAGAAATAATTCCTATGTGCAAGTAATTAAGTGGGTCAAAGACTGTCAGTTGTGCCTCCCTCAATAACTAAGAAAGAAAACTTCTAACTCCATTGTTCGTGGAATTAAAATACTTTTACTTGTTATGAAAAGATGGCAGCGAAAGTAAAGCAAGATCTGAGCCAGAAGGCGCGAACCCATACATATCAAACAATTTCCCAAACCCCTCCCACAATGACCCCCATCCCAGTGTCTGCAATCTGCAACTCTCTAAGGTGTCACGTGGGTTGCATCTCCAGACAGCATCATTATGTTGGTATGCAAGACGGTTGTCCTTGACCAGGTCGAAACACCGGGCATCAGCATGCACAGAAGATGGTGAGAAGAAAACTCCCTTTACCATATCACCTCCACTCCCATTTATTCCCATCCCAAATACCATGCCCCCACCCCCTCCCGTTTCTATGGCAACCGATAGCAAGTAAGCAAAACAGAGGCTGACAAAGACAATGAGGCTTCAGAAAAAAGGCATCAAAGTTAATCTTCATATTATAAATGTGATATAAAGAAGTGGAACCAATTTTTCTAGGTTAGGTATTTCCACCTTGGATAAATGGAAAAGGTGAGTCATTATCCAATTTGTCAGGTCGTATTTAAGCAGAAGGCCTTGAATGCCACGCAGATAAGATGTCATATAACAGTGATTCTAAAAATTATGAAAACAGAAGCAACTGAAAGGAGATAAAGATGACTAAAAGACACATTAACTACAATGTTACACATCTAATGAATACGGTAGTTTAAGACAGTTGCCTTTGATTTAGTGGTCTCCAGATTCATTAAATTACAACTCCTATTATCACAAGTAATAAAAAAATTGGGGCTATCCTGGCTTGAAATGATGAGTTTAGTGCAGAGGCACCAAGCTGGAAAAGATCCCATTAAAAGAATATATAAGCAAAAGATGAGGAATGACATTTGTGGAAAGTGTATCCAATACAATGTTCATTATGCATGACACCTTTCCTAGTATCAGTGGAATGCTAAGTGGTGCTGACAACTCGAAATTGTGAATAAGCTGCAAAATGCAGCCTAAGCCAAGAATATCATGACCTAGAAAAAGGAACCTGCCTGGACCATCTCAAGCAACCACTGGACACTTTAGATGAACATCATTTATTCCTTTATTTATAGTACCCCTTTTATTTCATGAAAGCACAGACATCTCCACTGAAAAGAAGGGGAGGCCTAAAACAGATCTCTAAAGTGCAGCTGTTGACATTATTCAAGGAGATGTAATAGCTTTGGGCAGATTTCAACAAATCACCTTCACAGTTCTCCTGAGTCATTCTCCCACTAAATATTAGCTACTTGACTCAAGCCCAACTCTGCCTCTTCAGTTAGCAGGCTCGTGCTTTGCAAAGTACATTTGAATAATCATGCTCTTATACTTGATATTGAAATGTTTGCAGCAGGGCATTATTGTCACTAATGAAGACTGCACTTTAGTGAACTTTCGGTAAATTCAGAAAAAAAAATCATTTTGCTAACTTTCCTCTTGCACACCAATTATCTGTATAGCAAAGGTTTGAAAGAAGGTGAGATTATTTTCCACTTTAATTTGGAATTCTGCCAAGGCATCTCGGAGGAAATTCTTATTCTCTATAGGTAACCAAACAAATGGCATTTTAGTAAGATTTAGCCACCATCTGGAACAAGGTCAGAGATTATGCAAAGGTCAGAAAGAGTTTTCCTTACTCTTTGACTATTCATTTCTGAAAAGTGGCTATTTCCTTGTTTCACATCTTAGATAAGCAGATGGCTAAAATGTATGAGTAGCATTTGCACATGTATTTTTTTAAAGGAGAAATGACATAATTAAAGAGACCAATTGAATTGACGTTCAGAAGTGGGATTAACTTGCATGAAAAAGTTTTAAACTATATAGACATTAAGGCAATTTAACAATCAAATGAAGGAAAACAAAACTGAGGTTTGACAGCTTCTGTTCAAAGATCCTTTTTACCAAAACATTCACAGATTACATTAATAATACATGTCATGCACTGCTTGAAATCTAACATACAATGAAAAGTAGACATTAACTCAGTGGGAATCACATTGACATCATGATGATGCCAGAAGACAAAAGCAATAGTTTGGTAGCCATGGCCACAATAGATGCCAAAAATAAATATAAGGGGTATGTAAATGGAATTGTATTCAGAACAAATCTGAACATAAAACAGCTCTTGTGAAAACAATATTCAGAGGTAAGTCAATATCAGCTGAGATATTGTTTATAGCAAATAAATTTTAAAGTGTCTATATTTACAAACTGACAATCTGAAAAAGCAGTCTTTAAAACTATCAGACTGGTCATTTTCTACCCTTGAATATCTCAACACTGTTATCTCTAGAAATGGTTCATCAAAAACAGAAGAGGAAAAAACTGGAATGTTTTTTATCTTAGTGATACTTTGTGTTTCGAAATATCAAGCTTACTGAAAACTACTCAATCTTCAAAATTTGTATCTCCTTCTTCCATAAAATGATTGGTTTTCAACCCTTGATGACACACTTATCCAAGTGGCTCTTTGTCAGCTACACTGTGCTGTTAGGAATGGTTTCTGCTTTCTGACAGCTGAAGAAACCAAGAATGAGGTTCTATCAGGATTTTGTGGCCTTCTTTCGACATAGCAGCCAATTCTTGGCCCACAGCTGCTTCTTATATCCAAAACAGTTGGATCCATCTAGGTATTTGAGCCAGTAGATGGAGTTGTTAAACTTATTTAAATTGCTTTCTTCATCAAAATAACATTGGCTATTCTTTCATTTTGTAAAATACAAATAGAGAGATGAACCAAGCCACATTGTAAACTACAATTGACTAAATAGGACATGAAAGAGACTTTCGCCTCATAACCATATCTATCTGCAGTAATGCTAGCTTTGGAGAGAAAAAATTTGATTGGGAAAAGTTTCCAATGCCAAAATAAGGAGACATTTTTCAGGCTTCTCTTTCCTGTGGATGATGGAAGCCCACTAAAGGGCCCTGCCTTGAAAGACAAATTTTCTCTGCCTGACTCCTTTGTATCTCTCATTAATTGGTGATACTTCTGTGCATATCATATCCCAACCAGTAGTTGGTTGCCAATTTTTTTACTACCGGTTCGGGCATGCTTCCCCCCACGCACTCCTGCGCATGTGCAGAAGTGTCTGGGTGGGTGGGTGGAGCCTCCTACCCCTGCTACTACCGGTTCGTCCGATCGGGGCCGAACCGGGAGCAACCCATCTCTGATCCCAAGCCCCGGTAATAAAGTACATTTACAAAATGAATGACTCACGATTAAGGGGTCATCTCTTCCCATTCTAATGACAGTCCTGTTAATGATGCGCAGCAACTGGATCATTATTTCTTGTATGTGCTGATAGGTTGATGCCTGTAAAAAAGAATGTTTTTTCAAGATAATAAAAAATAATCTATAAATAAAATACATGCGTCAACTTAATCCGTATCATACGAACATAATATTTAGCAGCATGAAAGAAACTAATCATACACTCACTGATATTTTACACTGCTATTTAATGCTATTTGATCCTTAAGATAGTCAGAAGATTCATTCTCACATTGTTCAAAAGCATGTGTCAACCTAATCATGTCCTTGACATATTCTCCTTTCAAGGAGGATTTTTTTTTTGTTTATTGGTTTGTTTTAGGTTTTTTTTTCTTATAGTGAAATATTCAAAGATGCAACACATCCTGCCATATCATCTGCATAAACTCTGCACAGTCCAAGTACAATATACAGCATATCATTGAATACTGGCAATAGTTAAACCCACAGAATTATCTCCAAGATTGTCCCAGAGGTGCTTTTTCAAGACGCAACTGGACTTTCTTGCTTTTGTTTGAAGACTTTTCAATTCACATCCAAGAAGCTTCTTCAGCTCTGACTAGATGGTGGGGGATGGAAGGATTTATATTCCTTGCAGACAGCTGGTTATTTGCATTGTTTTAGAGAGTTGTTTAGGCCACTTGGAGGTTTATCTGTGTCCTGAGTAATGCAGGTTAACCATTTGCAGGGTCATCCAATTGCATTAATTAGGTGACCCTGAGGATACAGACAAACCTCCAAATGGCCCCAACAACTCTCTAAAAGAATGTAAATGATCTGCTGTCTGCAAGGAATATAAATCCTTCCATTACCCATCATCCAGTCAGAGCTGAAGAAGTTTCTTGGATGAGAAGGGAAACATCTTTAAAAAAAAAAAAAGTCCAGTTGCATCTTGAAAAACGCACTTTTGAATCAACTATGACCTGGATGAATGAGAATCACTGTAGATATCTCCAAGATTGTGTTTAAGTGCCCTTTTAGTATCCTTGCAAAGATTTTGCATTCATTCATTCATTCATCAAATTTGGAAACTGTCCATCTCAGTCATAGGGCAACAAAGATGTTACATGTTCAATAAGGGAATTTAATTTTATGTAGCAATATTTTTTTTTACTGTTAAACAATGACTCATTGGCTTCTTTTACCATTCAATAGAATGGTAGATAGAAAACTGCCAACTTTTCAATCTCTTGAAAGAATCTCAATTTCAAAATGCTACTAGGTTGTACACTTTCTCATGAATTTTTTTCATCTAATGTCACTTTCAGCATCAGCTGGCCACTCACTGTGTTTGTTCTACAGGATGGGATTTTTAAGAAGAATTCACAACTCAGTCTTTTGTTAGGGGAAAAGCACATGTTAAAAATTAAAACTTTCATTATCACAAGTATTTAAAGACTCCTGAAAGGATAATTCTGTAGTCTTCAATCCCATAATGCGATGAAATCATTTAGCTATTCCTAGTAGGAAAATAGTGGAAACCTAATCAAGAATTATGGCTAACTAGGGACAATCAAACAGTTAATGACTGTTTGGAAATACTTAGGTGTATGAGTTGTTTTTCTTTTGTTTTGTTTGTTATATCTTGGTCTGACTTTTTAAGGATTCATTTTAGCCTGCTGTTCCCAGTTTTAAGATACTGGCTTTTAAGTACTTTTATTATATTCATTTTATCTTTCCTTGAAAAATCTTATTTTGAAAGGCAGTACATTATTCTTTGTAAATAAGCAAACCTAGGCTGGGTTTGCCTATTGCACTGAGTTATAATTTGTGTAGTTTGTATGTGGTATGAACTCATACAGGGTGATAAGATATAGCATGGCTAATAGCTTTACAAATCATGACTGGATAAGCTATGGTTTGGCACAATGTGTGAACATGGTGACTGGCTTTCAGAAATTTCACTGCCACCTACTAGGCACAATGAACCTGGTCATGTCACAGTGTTTTAAAAACTCATAGAAACTGATTCTAATTTACACCTAATCTGAGACACCCTGGAAATTTGAGGAATGACTCAAGCCATCCCAGATTTGGAGTTGATAGAAATGCCATGATTGAAATATCACACCAAGGGAGACTGATATTAGTCCTCATCTTGGGTGTTATATCAAAAGCACATGTAATTTTTATTTTCAAGAATTGGCAAAAGTCCTAGTGAAAGCACATCTCTATCTCCATGGATACTCCATCTGTATTAAAGTCACTGTAATTAAGATGAAAGGCTAGAATGTTAGAATAAAAAGCTATAGAATCAAAATAATTATTAATGGCTACAATATCCGGCATATGAATAACTCTCCTGCATCGTATTATAAGTTGGATTCATATTTAATGCACCATTGGTTCTTTTGCATTTGTGCTTATAGATCTCTTTTATGGATTTCAGTACCTTCATAATTCAGCAGGATGTGTTATCTGTATGGAACTCTTTTCATTGTGCTCTGGTTTAGAGTGGCTTTAAGTAGGTTACATAAGTAACTACAGTGGAAGTAAAGGTGATTGATGATTCTGTGTAGGACTCTACACATTATGGAAATTGAGCAATGCCCTGCCTAATTTTTCATTGCTGATGCTGTATCCCTCCTAGAGCAGCTTAAAAGGTATTTGTCTTGCTGGAAAAAAGTATCCTATGTGTTGAGAATGATGAGATGTGCCAAAAAAGGCATTCCCTTCCTTCTATGAAAAGGAATAGATATGATACTCTGAATGTCTTGGAGAAAATAATACCTAAGCTTGTTTTTTGGGGTGTTTATGGCTCAGTTTACTTCAGTCCACAGGACAGTTTCTTGTTTCTATAATTAAGCCATTGTTTCTGAAACTGTATGACCACAACTTTATTACTCTCACCTCCTAAGCTAATTACTATGGTTATATTTATACTCATGTCTAATTAAGTAATGCTTATGATTCTTCCCTCTGGCTGCACTCACTCAGATACTAAACATTGGGTCATTTTATCTGTTTATAATCTACACTGCCCAGAATTATATCTTCTGCTATGTCCTAAACTATGGTGACTATCCAGAAAGCTAACATCATGGGAACAGGGTTTAGTATAGGCAGAGTGACTATTTACCCTGTGGGAACAATAATTTTGCAAGGGACCTCATTTCTTTTCTTGATTGCTACCATCTAATAAACGTTAAGCAATCTCATAAAATCTCACAAAGTAGCAGTCTATTTTATATAATTTGAGACATTTTTTCTAAAAATATAATTTTGGGGGATGTTTGGGTTTGACAGAGCATTGGCTGAAGTTACAATCAGTGCCTTGACACCAATGGTCTTTGTGTTGTGGACCCTTCATTAACCCATCCTACATTAAATAGGGGTTTCCTGCATCAGTGCAACTTAAAATCTTGAAGAAATGCTTTGCCTAACTTAATTAAGCATAAATACATAATACTCTTGACACTTTCCTAAGAATATTAAAACTTACAGATAATAGCCATGCACCTACTATTATTTCCCTAAGCCTTCTCAACTTCATCTTCTTTCTTTGATCAACTGTTATAATGCCAGATGCCACAGTAGGGCACAGAGTTTTCCAAAAGCAGCATCTGGCTGTTTGGCAGATTTCCCAGTTCCTCTTGGCAGATCTGGCATTTTCAGAGGACATGTCATGTATTGCTGCTGGGTTTTGACAGAGTTTTCCTAAGAGGTTGTCCTCCCTTCCTCCCATCCACTCCCTCTGCCTTGATAAGTCTAACAAATACCTCTAGTCCAAGGCCTCTTGAGAGCTTTCTAATTAGATGCCCGCACTCTTCCCAAAAGAGCTCCTCAAAGTAGTTGCTGGCTAATTAGGTTAAAGTTTGTGTTTTCTCAAAAGAGACCCAGTTTGAAGCATTTACAAATCAGCTTAAAAAAAAACTAAACAAAATAAAAGCAAAGTTATAGATTTCAGATCCAAGAGAATATCTGTAGCTCAGAGTTAAGATGAGGGGTCTTTGGTACTCTCTTAGCTTGTTTTCTTGCAGACATTTTATTACCTAAACTAGGTAACATCATCAGTGCGAGTCAGAGCTAGGACAAACAAGCATTATTCCATGGTTCAAAGAATAGAGAAGAGTAAGGAATGGATGAACTCCTTTGTCTTTAGAGATAATCCATGCAGAAGGAAATACATTCCCTGGGAGAATGTCTAAAGGATTACTGTTTATATGTGTGCAGAGATGAAACGCAGTCTCTTTTAATCACGATAAAAAGGCTTTCAGAATCAGGAATCTGAGATTTATGTAACATTAAGCATAATAATTAGTAATAATTAAATATAATAGATTGGTTTTTCAATACACACATAGCTTCATAAAAAAATCATGAGAGGCCCCATTTGCAATTATGATATGTGCATGTTGCTCCTTTTGACATTTTTAAAAAGTCTGCAGCCTATTAGACAGATCTCCATATTCATATCAAACCTCTTCATAACTGCAGGAGTAGAAATATTAAAGGCATCATTTAGAGATAGTGGCAGAGAAATGTTTAATTCTAAGCCCCCCAAATAAACTTAGAATGTGATTTATGACAAAAACAAGTCCTATTTCACCACACTGCTTAAACAATAAAAATGTGTGTGTGTATGTGTGTGTGTCAGCTTCAACATGACTTTTTCCTCGCTGAAGTGGAGCTTCAGTGGCCAATTAAGGGTTAGTGCAAACAAGCATTGTCAAAATTCTGTGCAGTAAAATTGATATAACAGATAAGAGACAAAACATCAAAGTACATTATAGGATCTATACCATGCTTACTCTATAATTATCCTTAATAACTGTACTTGGAGTGTCAAGGGGGTTCACATAAAGTTTGCTGCTATTGTAACAGATTAATTTATAACCCTAGATAATAAACCCAGCTGCAGATATTTATGGTGGGTGGTAGGAAGAAAAAAAGGCCATGTAAAATCAAGTATTCTTACTATTTTTCTCAAAGGTGATCTTGCTGAATGGCCAAGACCCAAACAAATCACTACAATCCATTCATACTTATTTGAGAAATAACTTCTGGGAATACAGTGAGATTGTCAAATTAAATCTTTTCAGGGTAGGTTGTGAGAAAGACATCTTTGTCCTTTTTTATAAATGCATGGTGGTAATTGTGGCAAAGCATTTAATCAAACTATACTAACAATGCAGTTCTATTAAAGCATGAGGGGAAATCATAAATTAGGTTAAACATTTGCCACCATTAATTGCATTAAACCTCTGAATTGATTAATCTGATTTAAAACTGGGAAAATGAAGTTTTTGTTCACAGTTCTACAAGTATTCCTTTTCTTTTCATGCAGTATGTTTAACCTTCCTTTCTCCTTGACGAGTATGAGAAATAAATCAGGATTCCATTACACTTCTGTTGTTTCTGGATTGGTCACATGAGAGCCCATATCATTGTTTAAAATAAATTCCACTTAAGTGAACAAGCCAGCCTCAAAAACCAAAGCGTAAAATTGGCTTGCTTTGCAATTGACTGAAGTTTATTTTAAATGACAAGTTTTTGATATATAGCACCACACCAGGAATCATGCAAAAAATGTAACTGAATCTTTGTTTACGTCCTCTGTCCATGTAATAGTAAGAGTGTGTACATGTCAAAGACTTGTCATTTAAAATCAGAGTTTTCACTCGGGGCACTTTTTGCTTATGTGCGTAACACCAGCCTTTGGTTTACTACTATGTGTGAATGCTACGTTTACTAGGTTTATTAATATTGAAGAAAAATGGATTACTAAATCCATGTTTAAACTTCAGTCAAGTAACTGTTCCATTTAGTGTCACTTCAAAAATATCAAATTTAGCAATAAATAAAAAAGTGACACCCAGTTTGGGATTCTTTTTAGTTGATAGTTTCCATTATATTTATTGTACTGTAAATGTTCTAATGATTTCCAAACTCCTTAAAGCTGCCAAGAGTCCTACAGGCTTGCAACTGAGCATATCTGTAATGAATAAATCATTTCCTTTAACAGGGTCTGGTTTGATTCAAAGTGATCCAAAGCATAACCATTCATCTGCTTGGCATAAAAAAAGGAAAGTGAATAAATCTAAGGGAAGATGCTGAGATAATATCCAAAGAAGTGCTCTTTAAAAGATAAAGGAAAAAGATATGTGAATCATCTTTCAAAGAATAAAATTATTGCTATGCCAATCAAAAATAAGATATGATTTTAGTGATTTCAAATCTCTGGCCAGTGGATGGACGTTGCATGTGTTTCCATGCTGCAATTATCAAGAGAATTTTTTTTTTAATGGCTGACGTGTCACCATGGCGACTGCAGTCTGAAATCTGAATGAATTACTATCTGATACATGTTGCATGCATCAGATTATATCTAGCATCATAACAAACAAAAATAATAGTTGGAGACATATATAGGATCCAGCATTTTCATCAAAACGACAAAAACAATGCTGCTTCCTCTTTCATACATGCATGAAATATCAGATGCATGCATAAAAGGGAAGAGCTTGCATTCATTAGACACAATGCTGTTTTACCGAACTCCTCTTGAACTCCTGCAGAGTCCTCTGGCACCACATTCCCCATTTCTGAAATCATGAAAATGACTATAATTCAGATTTGCCTCCACTGCCAACTTCAACCATTGACTGACATTAAAAACAAAACAAAACAGGGCAGCTGTTATGTAAGTAATGCTAGAGATTATTTTTAACTTTAGCCGAAAGGATGTTGCATGTCTGCAGTATATCTCTGTTCCTCACACCATGGTTTATGTGAATCTAGATTGATTATTTGATTTGTAAATAACTGGTACACCTTAATCAACACAGACTTGATAAACTGGAATCCGTTATATAATCCCTGACATTTATCGGTACTCACTGCATCTTGACAGCTGAGAACTTCTAGGATGCTGTTGAGTAATTCAATGCAATATTTTTTGTCTTGTGGTATAATTTGCATTTCAACACTTGGATCCAGTAATTCCTTCAGTTCTTTGGTAATTTCCGGGAGGAGGATATCTCTACATTCTGAAAATAAACAATTTGGTACTTAGAGGAGAAATCAAGCCACAAATATTTTCGTATTTACTGTTTTAAATGTTTACAATACAGCTCTCCCTGATACAATCATTCTTAATTGCAATTGGAGGACATTAAAATTTTACATTTTTAATTGTGAATAAAGGATAAAATACAAAAGAAACAGATCTGCTGAATTATCAGAGGAACACTACGGCGACATCTCACTAACTACTGATGAGCTGCAGGCTTTGTGTGCCTTCTTTCAAAGTCCTCATTCTAAAATTTGTGATGTGCTCTCATAATTCCCTGGAGAAGATTTAAAATATGATGAACAGCTAAAAAGGGGAGCAATAAAAGATGCTTAGCAATGTAAACTGAGATAGTCTGCCTTGATTCAGTAATATTCAGTTAATATTGTCCACAGATAAAGTCCACACAACAATCAGTATTTGCCTGTAGAAAAGACAATGCACAAACAATCTGCTCTGTAACATCAATTCAGTATTTATGCTAGAGATTCAGTTTTATAAAATATGGCAGTGTGCATCTAAAACACATAAGAAAATGCCATCTATCACCCTCCTTTCTCTGTATTTCATTACGTGCCACACATAACATTAAAAAAAAATCACTAGTCTAAATATTTCCTTTTCTGATGGAGTCAGCAGTACAGCACAGTAGAAGAAAATATAAAATAATATGAAAAGATTCGGTGAAAAAATAATGCGACAGACAAAATTTCTTGCCTACGAATAATTTATAATTTCCAAATCTTCAAATGTGAACAAGCGCACAAACAAAACATTCCCCCACTGAAAGTGTGTTATGACTGAAGTAGAATGAAACTATTTTTCCTTTGTTAGTGGAAAACCTTGGTAGGAACTCCTCAGTTTTCTCATGCACAGTGATAGTCCCACAAGTTATATGATATGTTCTTTTTGTTCACTGTTCAGAATTATTATGATGAATTTGTGCATCTGAATGTGTGTGTGTATCTGTGTGTGTGGTGGAAAGACATTGCTATGACAGATATAAAAATGTTCTCTGGGTAACAAAAATAGGAATGAATGAATGAATGAATGAATGAATGAATGAATGAATGAATGAATGAATG